AAAATTTCAGCTTTCTATCTGTAATAGAAAAAAAGTTATGACTTTTCAAAGTTTTCCAAAATCTAAATCATAAGATGTGCTTTATGGGTTTGCAATTGGGTTGCTTATGACCGTGTTTGGGTTGTGCTTCAAGGTAGCTTTTGATAATTATTGTAAAAGAAATTAGAATTTCCAAATTTATGGCCACAGACACAATGTCACAGTGCACAGAAAAGTTCAAAATTTTCGTTTGCAAATCATAACGATCAATGGAACGCATGCTAAGCATCTGATGTTAAACAAGAACTGGCTGACAATTGGTCATATCGTAACCGTAACATAATAGGTCTGTTCCAACACAGCAGGAAACCGTACAATTTATCGTCATGTGTAGAAACCGAAATTTGTTCACTGAGTGGTTTCGGAATCGTTCATGGGACGGTTTTTGACGTGTTGGAACAGACCTAATGTAAGATCTCAACTTGTCTGGAAATGTACTTGTGGCCAAATAAATATGTATTTAGTTAGAGTCCAATAAGTTTACTCACCAACTGCAAATGTATTCGAAAACAATGAAAATACCCGGGTATAACAAATTAAGTAAAAACGCATGTACGCGGGTATTTTGAAAATTACTGAGTACAATAAAAAGTACCGGGTACCTATTTTCTATATTCTTAAGCAGTCCAAGTACAAGTACAAGTACGCGATTCAGAAAGTATCTTGGCCTGAGTACCGAGTAACTAAATATATACTTAGAGTACAAATGAAGAGTACTCGTACCGTACCCGAGTACCGCACAGCTCTGAAGCCCATCAGGAAAAACGTTTATTTTTCTTCAATAAAAATAATTTATTCAGTTCGATGGGGAGGGGTTCGAACCCCCAAAACCCCCCCCTCATATACGTCCTTGAATTTGACCTGTCTTTAAAACAGAACAAATTTTAGTAACTTTCCATTGTTCCGGAATTACGTTATTTTCAAAGATTTTATTGAAGATAAGATTTAAAGGTACTGCTAAACATTGTGAACAATCACGCAATATACAGAATCCTCGTATCCCTGGAGTGCATTGCACACTTCCAACTGAGAAATATTGCTAAATAATATATTTTGATAGTTGTAGGGATCATCAGAGCTAATAAGGAAGGGATTTTATGGTGCAACATATACACTTTCGAAAATATTAGCAAATCCATCCACTATATTTTGTGGCGACTCTTATGGCAAGTGGTCAAGATTTTGGTACCTTGTCTAATAAACAAATTTACAAATAGGTATGTAGATGCAAGCGTGCAATTAGTTAGTCTGATGTTATAAGGTTATCTAAACACAAATATTTTAAAGCTTAAAAGAAAGAAAGCTTGAAGGTGTTTCTTTTAAAACACTATCCAAAACAAGAGGAAACCTGAATATGTAAATAGCAGTTTTCTCTCAGCAGAAGAAAAGACACTCTTTCCAAAAAGCTGGACAGGAGAACAGAGCGCTTAGATTTTCAGCTTTAAATCCAAAGCACAGATCACCTATTCACAGTATAAAAAACACTACAGCCAGGCTAAAAATAAATAAGACAAGATTTTTTACTTACCTAAAATAATATATTTAATTATTAATAACCCTTTTGAAACAATAGATTTGCTCTGGAATTTGTATCACTTATTTGCTATTTTTTTTTTTTTTAATTCGAAGTGGATACTGGAAGGATTTTCGATCATACTTTATGTGTTTGAATGCGATGTATGAATGCGATGTTTATAATACATATTCCTTACTATTTGTTGGCAAGTTAACATTTATCTTAGGATATTGACGGCACCATAACAAACTTTGGACTGTTGGATGTACACAGTGCTAAATTCCAAAGCAAATCTGCAGATAAAAAAAAACTATTGTACAAACTACTTAAAATAATAAACTTGAAAATAATAAACCTAGGAATATTCTATATGAATAAATGCGGAATTAACACATTATAGAGAAAAAGTAAATCGACTCTTCATAAACCTAATACCTATAATAAAACAAATTGAAACAAAAAATAATGGTACTTGAAAAAAATACATATATTTAATATTTGCACCAAGTAAGTGCATTGACATCATTAAATTTGGTGATACGGCAACTTTGAACTAATAACAAATATTTAACCATTATTAATTGTTTAAACTGTCACGAAACATTATAAATTTTTTTGGTGGATTTTTTGAAATTTTAATATTTTTTTGTGTATTTTTCCTTTTTTTTTTAATTATGTTAGGGGCATGTAAAGTGGGTGTTTAGAATTCCGCACAAACGACTACAATACAATAATATTGTTTTTTACTCCCATCTTTGATTGTATTTTATAAAGCTATAACATAACCTACCTCCATAAAATAAATGTCATTTCACGCACCAACAAAATGGACCATAAAAAATAACAACCAATCAGAACTTATTGTTAAAATAAATCCATTTTAGTTAGCAGCAAATGTTGAACAAGCTGCAAAGCAAGTCTGTGATGTGTGATGTTTTATGCTTGATGCATGTGGTTGAGTAAATGTAATTATGTATTATCATGAAATAGGATTTTCAATAAAGGTGAGTTCTAACAGTCATTTAACTTAATTTAGCTCAAGTTTTATAACTCAATAAGATCAGATGACTTTCAAGTAATTACATATTCAAGCAGAAGTGTCTATATCACAAGATTTTAAATTTGTTTCTGTAAGATGTTTGCCATTAGTAAATAGTGGCACATCTCCCTCCTTGGTATTGTGACTGGGTGATGCAGGTATTTGTTTCAGGTACCTTTTCTTTTATATTGGATGTCTGTTAGGAACCACCTTAGTTAAAGTAAAGAAGTAAAGCTTAGTGTAGCTTGATAATAAAAAGGATACATTATTAGGTAGGTATAGTTTGTCGAATATAGGTAGGTAATTATAAAAACATTCAGTTTGACTTCTACCTAGAATTGATGATGAAATTTTACACAACAATAAATGATTTGATGGTTGTTTGATTAAAGCTCAATTCAAAGATTGACGCACCGTAACGCTACCGTAGTTAGAAAGTTAAAAATAAAAATGTATGAGAGGGGATTTAACGCAATTGTATCTCCGTAACGTAGCCCCCCCCCCCCCCCCGCAAAAGTTGACCAACTTTTAACTTTTTGCGTTGAGTTCGACCAATGAAAACGCAGTACGATTTTAAAAACCTGGTTCAAATGAAAATACATTTTTGCGGCACTATGTTACTTTTCGAACAAGCCGCTATTCTTGATAAATTCTTGCAATAATCAATTCTGATTGCAACATTGAAATGAACTAGACTACATACGGCTGAGCTTTACGCGACAGATCGACAATGTTGTTTAGCATCGCTGTTTTGGCAGTTACGGGTAATCAGGACTGATTATTGTTGGTAGGAAAAATTAGACAATTAACAATAAACATTAATACTAAAATAGTAAATATGTGAGCTGGTGAAAAATTCCGCTTCAAAATAGCGCTTAATCAAATTAGGATGTTGATAGATATGATTTATTGCTTATTGATTTGCTGAAAATTCACCAATAGAAATCCTTAAAATCTAATTCTAAAACTACTTGTCTCTACATCTAATAATCAAAGATAGGAGATCCGAGGCTTAGATGGGGAATAATTACTCCTCGACATTGTAAACCATGCAGACGTTGTCCGACGCAGCCAATTGTTCGGGCACCAGGGGGGAAGTGGACTGTAGCACTGAGAAACCGAGGAACATGAAGGTGCGTTGAAGAGTAGCATGGTCTTTGCGGTCCGATGAAAATACCTATTGTTGGAAAATTATTAGAACAAGCTTAAATATAATTTTTTGCACCAAAGATACAAAGTTAACTTTCTCTGTACACATCAAAGTTCTTTAAAAAAAAAAGTCGGTTCTGTATGATGTGATATGACTACAGAGAAAAGTACCCTGGATCAGAAGTGTATATGTTCCCAATAATTTCATGGATATATGGATTATTACTTGTAATTTTGGAAAGTGGTTCGTTGGTGAAACATAAATAGCTAAAAATAAAACTTTTTTAGGGAATTTAAATAAATAGCTACTGGCATGATTTTAAACTCGGCAAGCATTTTTGTAAACACCAAATAATTACTCAGCTTAAGAAAGTACCTACATAAATAAAATGAAATAGAATTTTTACGATACTAGAGAATAGGTGCATAATACACCAACAACTAAAGTTGAAGACACCAGGACAAACTTTCAGCCTCTATTAAACAAGAAACTCTGCTGTCTGAACAAGAAGTCTGCTAAATATCCCGATAGGGACCAGCACTGATCAATGGTTGAAACAGCTATGCTGAAGGCTTTCCAAGTATCATGGGGTACTATCAGAAGGAAACATCAGGATTGTTCGATTGAAACAATAAAGAAATTCAAAAGGTCCCAGATCAGAACAGGAAAGCCTACAATATCTGGCAAAACGACCCAAATTTCGCTCATAAAAAACAAACCTGAAGTACAAATAATAGGAACAAGAATGCTGAAAAACAATCAAAATGGAACAGTTAGCAGCCTCTAAGAACACCACACCAGGGTCCTTATTCTTGAAACATAGGAGCAGCGTTCCCAGGAGAACGAGTGTTCCGTCTTTCTCGATGATATGCAACTGATAATATAAGTAACAAAGACGGAACACTCGTTCTCCTGGGAACGCTGCTCCCCTGTTTCAAGAATAAGGACCCAGAGCCTTCTACGAGACACAAAAGCGATCTATGGTCCCTCCCTCCACAAAAGAACGAAATCCAGCAAGAAGTGCGTTTTGTCTCACAAGCCAACATTTTTTTGGATTTTTAGAAAGGTTTACAAGTTTTATTAATGTACACCTTCCGTTAATGGTCTGCTGGTGATCATGATTGTAGACTCAATGGAAGAAAACGTCTAACTTAAATCTAGGATCAATAAAAGCCTATTTATTGATCCTAGATAGACTGAAATTGAAGGGAGGATTTTTTTACATGTCCTTAACTCACAAACCACATCCCAACCTATTATTTAGTTGAGCAAGCTACAAATGCGGATATATGCATACTTACAACAACGACATGTTTGCACTTGAGCTGATCCTCGGCGGCCTCAAGTAATGCAACGAATGCTTCCCTACTGCCTTCGGCAAGATAACCCGGTGGAGTCACGTAGAGGGTATCTCCGCGCAAGACCGCGTCCCATGGCTGAGACGATGAGGGCGTGCGCGGTGGGCTACCCGCTCCAGGTGTGGCGCGGAATGTTAGCCGGACTGGCGGGGATGACGATGTTGATGTTGGAGAGGCCGGTAGCGACTCGTCCCCTAAATTATAAAAAATAAATATTTTACAAAAAAATATTCTCTCCCAAAATCATATGGAAATCGTACACGTTTTTTTTTGTACAAAAGCATAGGAGTTTTATATGTAACTATATACTTAGTACTTTTAAATGGAAGTTAGTATATGAGTGAAAAAACCTATACAAACACTTTTCATACTTTTTTATTAACAAAATTAGATAATTCATTAATTTTATTGACCTGATTCTCATTAACATGTTCTTTGTGAGAACAAAAAAATTACCTATTACAGATAGACACTACAAAAATCAAAATTTGGTGTTGTCAGTATCTCAAACAGAGGATTACCCCTCTTTTACTGGCGATGTTAAAATGAAATTATTTCCTGTTATTATTTTGCTTTTGAAAATTAAACACTTGTAGCAACGTCGCACTCTTCAAAGTTCTGAAGAAACGTCAAAGCAAAAAGCTAAAATTGATGTAAGGTGTTCATTTGTACTACTTTTCTTGCTTCAAGCAGATCTCAGCAGCAGATCGGCGTTCACATGTCGGACTTGACCCATATATAAGCTCATAAATAGCAGCTCCTAGCTGATCTTCCTGATTTTTCGAGCAGGTAGAGCAAGTACAAATGAACACCCTATTATCTGGCTACAATTTGCCTGTGTGTGGTGGCATGTTATCTTAACCACTGCCACAAGCAACATTTTTCAAATGAGTTAGAGGCGGAGACAAAAAAAACCTGACCTGTCTTTAGCTATGTAGAGCTCACCCCCTGGCCCATGGGTGAGTCTTGGCATTACAACAAATAATATAGGATTATGAATGAATAGGATCTCCTGTCTATAAGTGCCAATAGGTCATTGAAACAAACCTTCATATAATTGGCAAAATAAAGCTTTTTTGTTCACCAAGCTGGGCAATACAAAAGGCCAAAAATTCATTTCAATGTTGCCAAATAATATTAAATCATCCCAGAGAAAGTTGTCTTAAAAAGTCTAAAATAAGTGAGTTAAAGAATCCAGATGTGCTTACCTAAACTGCCCCTGTGCGCCCCAGGGGCATCAGGACCACCACAGAGGCCCGGCACCGAGAGACATGTTGTAGCAGTCGGCGGCGTGGGCAGAGGCGGCTGAACGTTTTTGGCTCAATAACGCACTTCTGAAACATACAAAATGGGATTTTTTTTCACGATTTCCATATATGTATAACATTATGTTCTTCTCTCTTTTCAGCTACCACTGAGGATGGCCGGGAGGCTGAAAGCGCTCTGCTAAGATATTTTATTAAATATATTTGCTAAAAGTACACTAGTTTGATTTTTCTGATATTTAAAAAACGCAGAATTTGGTTAAATATCGGCTATAAGGTTTTAGGATCAACAATTTTGTTGTTTGTTAAAGAGTTTGAACAGGGATATAATTGTGAAAGTGTTTTCAAAAAAAGCATCCATGAAAATCACTCTTTTTTGCTAAGTCAAAATGAAAATGATGTATTTATAACATTCAAGTCCTATACCAAACTCAAATAACATTCACAGATCCAAAACCAAAAAAAAAAAAAAACATAACATAGTTGGGTAGGTACATAATTTAAAGATTGTTCTGGCAATAATAGCCAGTTGGCTGCCTCACATTATATTCTGAATGTGTAAACAACATACAGTCTATTATTTTAATATTTTAGGGGCCATGCAATCAAATGCGCATTTAAATCATTGGGTTTGGTATTTTCCACTGTTTACGTGATGTTCAGGACGATGCTGTTATCATCATTTTTATTATTGCAGCGTTTTTCTTTGAAATCCATCTTATCTGTCAGATATGAGATGTAAAGTGGCTATTCAAAACATTAGAAATTCAGCTGATTGACATAGCCTGAAACGGTAAGTTGATGGATGTCCAATTCACTAATCTCATTTTATTACCCAATATCAAAACCTCGATCAAAACCTTATCTTAAGATTTTGGTCTGTGTCTGTGTTGACACAACCAGAAAAGAAAAATAATTCTAGCTTGATTTGGTGTAACTGGTTTGACAACGATGACAATAGTTGCAGCTCTCCTTCTAATTGGTTGAAAGTGAACCTGAGTAAAGAAACTGAAGAAAGAGAACAGGAAATTATTATGCATTCCAATCCATAATCCCCTTCCATTCAAATTCGAAAGAAACAAGTATTGTTAAGTTATTAGATAAAATATAGTCAATTCTGCTAAATGGCCCATCCTACACTGTGTTAAAAGCACATGAACATCTCTTTGATCCAGTTCTTCCTTAAGTTCTATAATTATGTTGTCCAGATCGTCAACTTTTGTCAGAATCGTGATAGCCTCTTCAGCGCATTTTTTGGAACACCCTATCAAGTTTTGGTTGATGGTTATATGTTTACTGGTTTGTTTCAAGCAGCTGGGATGGAATACATTTTTACACGCAATACAAAACCAGCTGTTTCTTAAAACATTTCAGCTTCTAGTGGCAGGAAATGCTCGGGGAAATGCGGTTTAGAAGTAAATCTGACAAAAACAGGATATATTATTGGCATAATAGGAGAACAACGAAACCTCAAATTGAATAACGGGCAAGAAATAAAACAGTGCACTGAGTACGAATATTTGTGAATTAAAATGTTGCAGAGAAGAACCCTAGACAAACCAATTGAAGACCAAAAACAGGACAGAAGGCAATATCCTCACTAATAAAGTACTGACTGTGGGACAAAATTATCAACAAAACTAGAATACCTAACTTATCGTTCCAAAGTATAATGTATTAATTGATAAGTTTGGTATTGACATGTACAATGTGGATGTCCAAAAGCTAAAATCTTGTTTTAATTTATATTGACGATTTGTAGTAGTGAATTTTTCGTAGTTTTAGTTTAGTCTAGGGATTCTGTTAAGTAGTAAGTTAGATAGTAAGTGATAATTTTAATTTTAGTTATAGTAACCCTTACTTGTCATTATCAACTTGCTTGATGTTTGTAAGATGTACCACAAATAAATAAATAAATAAAAACACAGTCATACATAGGCTTGGCCAGCAAAGGAATCACAAAAATGCTGGGAGCAACTCAAATGGACTTTCGGGAAAGGGCGACAGGCGAGGTGACAGGCGAGTCAAAAATGGAAAGGATAACAAACAACAGAATAAGAGAAATTGTTTGGGCCTAACGCCGACCCTGTGCCATCAAGTGAATCGATGAAATTCACTACGCTGAGAAAGAGACAGAAAATTCACTACGCCGAGATTCACTACGCCAAAAAAAGACTTTTGGGTGGTTGCCATTCACGCATTCAGAACAATTACATGCGATTTCAGGTGAGCGTCGCTCCCGTTTTTTTTTATGTTCATTTTTCCTTTTTTTATTTAATAAAAGTATAAAAACAGTGTCTAACAGTTCATTACACAAAATCAGAAATTGTGAACGCAATACACACAGACATGAAGAAAGAGTGGCAGATATAGAAATACCCATCATTGCATGGAAGCCAGGAAAGAAGAAGGTGGGACAGACCAAGAGGAAGCTGGAGAAGTGGAGTTGACAAGGAAAGGAGAGATAGAGGCTTGGTGAAGGATGTCTGGATTCACATAGATGGTTGGAGATCGGGAATCTGAAGTAGTTGAACGTTATAAACTGATAATTATTATTAACATAGCAGAACATCAATCTTTTTTAAAACAGGAAGAGCAACAAATTTCGAGATAAATTTAGTATCATAGCAACTATGTTTCAGCAATTAATTACATAAATACTTTTGATTTCTGCTAAGAGCCATATAATATGAATTTTATAGGAGAAAACCACATGCATGTTTATTATACCTACATACTTAATTTGGCATTTGTGATTTAAGATGAGCGCGCATTTGTTCGCATCGGACAGGCGGAACGGATTAAAATTACTTTTTGCGTTATTTTTAATGAGATAAAGCACGTAAACACATATTTAAAATCCGTGTATGTGAGACGTGCGAATGACGTCATTCGCTCGAATGCGCGACAATAATTGGCTCGTGGAAATCATATTTATTTTCATTAAGGGTATTGAATGCGCTGTTTAAAATATATTGTAAAGCACGTCGAACTATACGACTACCCAACAAGTTAATACTAATAAAGATGTGAGGTTCATCGCGATTATTGCATTGGGCTACTGTTGGGCCGGTTGGCGCTGGATCCTTCATGATAGCGATTTAAAATGTATCGCAAAACAGGCGGAGGAAAGAGCCATAGGGTTTGCTGCGAGTATAACAGAGACAGGCAAAATGACAAGAAGAATTAATTAAATTTCTACAAAAAAAAATAGATAATTTTTGGGATTCTGGTTTGTGCTATTGTATTGCCAACACACATAAGATTGGCGCTAATTAAAAAAGACACCATAAATTGATTAATTTTCTCGTTTTTTTCCAGTTTGAATTACATTTTTGTAATTTTTCGAGAACTCGTTTCTATTACCGAATTTCTAAAAAGATAGCGCCATTCGTCCCTATATTATAAATCGAATGCAAAAAAGAAATTTGATATAACTTCAACTGCTAAAAAGTTACCTTGAAATTAAGAACGCAATGCATTCCTTGTTTCATTCATCTCATTCCCACTAAGAAGTATTAATAGGGGAGGAAGAATACAATGATAGACTGCGTTAGGTGCTTCGCGCAGGAAAAAATATTTCGCCATTGAGGCGCATTCAATCCCCTTAACAACATTCATGTGCATGTGGTAAATAATAGACAAATCGGCCAATAAAGTATGAAATTCTTAGAGTTTTCTCTTACGATTTATATTTATTTTATCGACCCAAATTCGTTTTATTTTCTCTTCAGCTTCAAATGCACATGCAATCGCAGATATTTCTTCTTCTGAACTGCTCATTTAGATATCAAAAACAAACGCAAAAAAGAAAGGTTTCATACTATCCTGCTTTTTTGATTGCACTAAATGAAAATATGGCAAGCAAATCTGAATAGGAATAGACTGAATGTGCGATGATGACAAAAATATTACATTTCGTCAGATTCAACTGATACGTACAAATGCGCGCTTACGTTTAATAATTACCTTCTGGACAGACAAATGTACATATTAGCAACTAATTATTTTGCAAGATTCTGACAGATTAATAAATAAATTAATAATTAAAAATAGCAAATTTGAAGAAAAAATCTCGTGACTGAAAACGAGGTTTCATTGGCTAAAGCCGATATTCATGATTTTGTTGCCACATTTAAAAATACAAAATGAACGGTTATATCTATATTCTTCATTTTTTTATGATGTATAATGAGGAATTTGGCATCGTCACATTTTCCGGAAAGTGACGTCACTTTCTGAGCCCGCGTTTTCAGCAGTTCGAAAATTCGATTTTCAAATCGTTTTGTTTCCAAAAATAAGCGTTTTTTTTTTAAGTATAGAGATGCTTTCGGGGATGTTTCTAGAATGACTAACACAATAATTTAAAAATATCTTTGAAAAATGTGAAAGTGACCCAGTATGTTAATTAGTGTTGTAAATTATGGAACGTTCCCGTTTATTCTCGAAGAACGTTCGGGAACCATCAAGACCTAAGTGGGAACGTTCCTTCTCAAAAGCACGAATCAGCAAGACGAAAACGTTCCTTGATAAAAATTATCATAAATAATAGCATTTATTTTCCAACATTGGGGTCCGGGGATCGAGAAAAATTCCTGACAGTTGACAGCCAACCAGCAGGGTTTGGTTTCAGGGATTCACACGCCAGTTTTTGTCGTCCCGTTTGCCGGGTTTTCATTCAGTATTCATTTTAAAGCGTGTAAAGGTCTGTTCGCACAGGAATCACAAACCAGTCAGAGCCAATTTCATTGGTCGAAAACAGTCAGAAAACTAGTCTCAACCAATGAAATTTACTCTGACTGGTTTGCGATTTCTGTGCGAACAGGACCTATTAGTATAGTGTCTACTTTTTATTGAAAATGCCTAGAAAAAAGTGTAATATTTTCAAGTTTTTTCTGTTAAAATCGATGGCTTCCACAAGCTCGTCATCTTTAGAAACATTTTATTTATAGATCTACCAAATATAAGCAGATATTTTTTTAATTTTTTATTATTTCCTACTAGCTGACCTGGCGAACTTCGTACCGCCTCTGAATTATTAAATACCTATTAAATGCTTGTTAACGTATCTATTAGCTGAATTAAATTCAGTTTTTTCGATGGTGAATTTGGCTTTGGTTGAAGAAAATTAATCTTTACTCTCTGGATTAGAAGTCACCTAAAATTCAAATTTTACATCATCAATCATCATCATCAAAATGAAATAACCACATTAATGACATAACAACATGCTGGTACTGTCAACGCTGAAAAAAGTTTCAATTTGACAGCAAAATCCCCATTAACAAAATGATCCTCCATTTATTGAATAATTAATTTATTCCAAAAAATGTGATAAATGAAGAACCGCTCGACCGATTTTGTGCAAACTTCACATAAACCATCTAATAAATCGTCCGAACAAAGCCTAAACATTTGGTTTGGCTAGGTGAGCCCGTTCTTGAGTTATAAAATTACAACGAAAAGTGGCATTAATTTATATATATATATATATATAGATTACTTTAACGAGTACACTGTGCAAATGTATGGAGAAAATAATCGCAAAAGAGCTCACCCAATTTTTTATGTACACACGAGTTATACCAGATCAGCAGCACGGCTTTTTTGCCGGGAAATCGACGACTACAAATCTCCTAATAAGACTCAACCACTGGACACTGTCAGATGACAACCGCGAACCAATCGATGTGATTTATCTTGACTTCCAAAAAGCATTTGACAAAATACCAACACAGTTCCTAATCCATAAAGTCGAACACATCGAAGTTAGGGGCAATTTACTCCATTTGATCAAAGGATTCCTCATAGGAAGAACTTTTCAGGTGCGTGTGGGTCCAACACTTTCAAAAGAGCACAGAGTGCAGAGTGGAGTACCACAGGGATCAGTTCCCGGTCCTCTACTCTTTATTGTCTATTTAAGTGATCTATATCTAGGGCTGGAAACAAGAAATGCATCTTTTGCCGACAATGGAAACATTTATGGAAATCCACTTTCGTAACATGCTGCTACTCAGAGAGACCTAAACAGTATCAAAGAATGGAGACAGCTATGGAAAATGCCCTTGAATGATTCCAAATGCACAGTCCTACATATTGGCCAGAACAACCCTAAATTGAATTACTTTTTTGAACAGTTTCAAATAACACCTGTCATACAACAGAGAGATCTAGGAATCACTGTAACCCAGGACTTGAAATGGGAAACTCACATCACGCAAATGACCAAAAAAGCCTATTCAATGATTTATCTCATACAAAAATCATTTAAAGACCTCTCCAAAGATATGATAACAAAGCTACATAAAGCATATGTCAGGCCAAGAGTGGAATATGCACAAACTATTTGGAATCCTTACTATGCTAAAGATATGTTTGTATCTGTGATTTGCCTCTTGGCTGTTGATACTTGATGAATAAATAAATAAATAAATAAATAAATAGAGAGCAAATTGAGAGAGTACAACGAAGAATAACTAAGCTGCCTCCCGACCTCCATGAACTGCCCTATGAGGAACGATTAACCCAGCTAGACCTAACCACCCTAAAAGATAGAAGAATGAGGGGAGATCTCATTGAAACTTTCAAAATAATGAATGGGCACTATGCATGCGACTTAAAGAGAGATCTACCACCTCAACCAAAACATAAATCTCAGAGGACACAATCTAAAGCTTTCCAAGGAGAAATGTAACATGCTAATGAGAAGAAACTTTCTTACAAACAGGGTGGTTTATCTCTGGAACGTCACATCAACAACAAAGAACCAGTTCAAAAACCGTTTAGACCAAGAAATGAAGAACCAAAGCACGAAGTTCTTTGCGCACTATACCGTATGAGGCAACTAAGTTTCAGGAGGACTATTAAGACCGCAGAGGCTCTTTTGTCAAAAGCAATGCATAACTTCCCACAAATCTCTAATTTTTAAACAACAACTCAAATAGATTCAGCAGTTTCATCAGATTTATTCCGTCTACTGCAGATACCCATAATAATAATAATAATAATAATATTTTTTTTCTTTCATGCTCATTATTCTCGTTCATGCTTAAAAAACGTTCTCCAAAAATAAATTCTCGAGCACTTGACAACACCAATGTTGATAATTCTTTTCCCTTTTTAGGTCACTGTCAAGTATATGGTCTTCTCAATGTTTATGCTTAGTTTGTTATAGCATAGCCAATCATAGAACAGTTTATTTACAATGTCTTCAACCAGCTGACCATCTTCACATCTTCACTTGTATACACTAATATGGCATCGTCAGCAAACATAAAATACTTTGAAGTCCAATAAATTATATACTATGAACATAAAGTACTTAAGTACTGTAAGGGTTCCTGATCCCTGAGCTACCCCAACTTGTACACCCGCTTTACTGCTTTACTACTAGATTCACCATTCACCACTGTGTATTGTTCCTCTGTTCTTTGAATAATGAATATATCTCCAACAGTTTGTAGATAATTCCTCTGCATCCTTCAACAATTTGTAATCTGGGGAGCTTTTTTGGAGACTGTCTATATTGAAATCTCTCCATAGGACAATGTTTTGCCTTTGAGACATTGCCAGCATCCGGGTCTAGGTTGCTCAGTCTATAAACGTTTGCATAATTTTATTTCTAGGCGCTCTAGTTCGATACCACAGCATTCTTTGTCCATTTCCGCACTGGTTCCTTCTATTTGCTTGACATTTCTTGATTTCGTGTTTAGTTCTGTATATAATATTGCCGTTCCACCCCGTTTTCTGTTTTTTCCGGTAAATGATGATATCAGTTAGCCAGGTATACCCATAAATGGTATCACCCCTTCGGTCATCAATGTTTCAGATAGGTACGTAATTCATTTGTAAGCAGTCTATGTTTACATTGTTGGGTAGGAATTGCACATTGAGATTGAATATGCTGATGATTTCCTTTTTCCTTTAAAAGATAAAATTAAAATGTAAATGAATCTCCTAAGCTTGGTCTTAAGTCGGCTTAAGTTTTGGTTTACATATACATATATTTTTGCCAGAAATTCTGCTATTTTTGTTGATGTCAGAGATTGCAGTGGTGACAGTGCCAAATAAGATTTATCTCGGAATTAGATTCACCTAGTTGTGAATATGATTCTGGGATTTCAGATTGGGACTTTGAGACATGTGAAATTCCAATAAAAAACTTTTATTCAAAACCAAAATTAGGGGACAAGTTGTAGGAGTATGCTAATTATATTTTCTCTCAATAACATAACTTGCTGGCTTGAGTGTCAAGCGTCTACACTTTTGTTTGTTTAATTTTTCTAAATAATTTGGTGATAAATTCCAACGTGCTCGACATCAACCCTGTTTGTTATCTTATTATCTTATACGAGTAAAAATTGTATGTATTGTTTGCCCAGCGGTTCTGAGTCTACGAAAGGAATTCGGACGTAAATGTGCGATGTTGCCACGTTTAATTATAAAAAAAGCGAAAATACTAGGCATGAAGATAGTTCATTTGAAAATCCATTTTTTAATAACAAAATATAGAAACCAATAAAACGCTAAATATTTCAACGTGGTTGTTAGATCTATTCTTATTTTAATAACTGATTTCTCCAATTTTGTCCATTGTAAAAAATAAACATTTTCTAAAGATACCATCAGCTTTTGACAATTTGGCAAGCATCCTGGATGGACCTGATTGGTGGAGTTTTTGGCAGGATGGCCGTTGCCACGAGGAACCATGCGGTTATCAATGGGCTAACGTCACCTTACGTCTCGCTATTGGCCAGGGCTTCTGTCATTTTATCCTCCCATCA